GCCGCCCTGCGTCTGCCTCGTTCGGATTTGGTGGCAAGCTTGTGAGCGTGTCGAATCTACCGAATGCGGCTGGGAAGCACCAAAGTGGATCTGTGCATCTCCGGACGGTGCGCATCGAGGACACCATCGTACAGCGAGCTACTGGTTTGCGGGAAGCGATCTCAAAGGATGAGGTCTCTTTGTGGGCCAGTGAGCAAGTGGCGGACAAGGCGCTGTTGAGTCTCTTCAAGACGGACTCGCGGGAAGAGCTGGTCGCATTGCTTGGGTTCGAGAAGGCCGAGATCGAGCGCAAGGTGAGGGAAGCTGTTGAGGCACTTTCCTTGACGACGGATGGCGATCGTACGATGCAAGAGCCAGAGCCAGAGCTAGAAGTGACGGTCCGAGACCCCGTCGTCTCATTCGCCGAAGACGAGGTTGACAGCGAAAAGGCTGCGTCGGAAGTGAGTGCCACGACGAGTGGCGTGAGCTTGAGCGGCACCTCTCAGACTGCTCCTACCGTGAGCGAATCAGGAACGACGACGACTGTGCCAAGCTTGTTCGGTGACGATGGACCCGTTGACGATTCGAACGACTTCTTCAGCAATGTCGTCCCCCACACGAATTATCAGCTAGACTCGTCGGTTGCTGCGACGGTTGGGTCGCGACCGTCTTCTGCCGCGTCTGAGGTTCCGCGAGGATTCAATATTTACCCGGCCTCTTCGTCACCCACGGATCGGCTGATCACACAGGCTCTGGTATTGGGCGATTTCGAGTCTGCGGTGTCGCTGTGCTTGGCTTCGTCGCGCTATGCGGATGCGATATTGCTGGCAGTGAGGGGTGGGCCGGCTCTGCTGCGCCGGACGCAGGATGCATACTTTGCGTCGACTTTGACGCAGCAGGGTGGCAGCGGCCGGGTTCTACAGGCTGTCGTGAATGGCGATCTGGGCGACATCGTGCGGAACGCAGATGTTGCTGAGTGGAAGGAGGTGTTTGTCGTGCTGTGCACGTTTGCCAAGGAGGACTTTGAGAGTCTGGTCGAGGAGCTCGGGGCGAGACTTCAGGCCCGGGGGAAGCAAGTGGCGGATGACGGAGACGAGGTGGAGGGTAAGGTGTGGCGCAAGAACGCGACCCTAGCATATCTGGCTGCCGGAAAGCTCGAGCGGCTTGTCGGGATCTGGAACGAGGAAATGGTCGAGGAGGAGATGAACAGTCTTTCCGGTGCAGGGAGTGTCGCTTCAGTGTATTCCGCCCGGGCTCAGGCGCTGCAGACATTCGTCGAAAAGGTGACCGTTTTCCGCGCTGCGACCAAATATGTCGACTCGGCCGAGGGCAACAAGTTGAATTCTCTCTATGACCGATACTACGAGTATGCATCGGTTCTTGCTGCTCAAGGGCTGGTCGACGAGGCAGTCCGGTTCCTGGAGCTTGCGCCTGCTCAGTATGGGGACGAGTCCGCCAAAGGAGTACGCGAGCGTCTTGTCAAGGCCAGCTCCAAGACTCCTGCTATCCCGTCTGCTCCAGCAACTGTTCGAGCGACGGCAGCTGCTCTTCCCCGGGTGCCGTTCTCTCAGCCGGCGTATGGACAACCCGCGGTCCCAAGCTATGGCGCCTCCGCACCGACATCCACCGGGCCGTATGCTCCGGCTGTCACTTCTAATGCATACAGTCAGCCCGTCGCATCGACTGGATATCCTCAGCAGCCTGCGAATTCCGCCGGGTATGCGCCGCCTGCCCCCGCTGGACAATATGCGCCGCCGCCAGTGCCTACTGCACCGGCCACTGGGCCCTACGCCCCGGCCGTGTCATCGAACGTTGCACCGCGAGGAAATGCTTATCCTTCAAACGGATTCGCGAATGGTGGGGCTAACATGGGCGGGCCACCTTCGTTGACAGGACCCCCTTCGATCGGTGGCCCCCCGCCAATGGCCGGGCCGCCCCGTTCAATTCCCATTAAACGGGACGCTGGAGGATGGAACGATGCTCCTAGTATGATGCCCAGCCGCACGACACCAGTGGCAAAGTCCTCCGCTAATGCGATCACCTCACCATTCCCCAACATGCCAGCAAATCCGCCTTCGTCGCCTTTCATGAATCAACAGTTTGCGCCGCCGCCGAGGCCAGGAAGTGTGCAGGGACAGATGGCGCCGCCGCCGCCGAGGGCGGGTCCCCCGCAGGGACGGCCCTCATCAGCAGCGCCTCCACCTCAAAGGGTGATGTCGCCTCCAGGACCAGCCCGATTGCCAACTCCCAGCCAGTATGCAGCCCGGCCTGCTGACGGGTACGGACGCCCGCCTTCAAGCCAGGCGATGTCCATGCCTCCGCCCCCGCCCCCGCCATCGGGTCCGTACGCACCGCCTCCAGGGTCTCAGCCACAGCAGCGGATGCCGCCGCCCGCAATGGGAATGGCCCCGCCTGCTGGAATGGGAATGACCCCGCCTGCTGGAATGGGAATGGCTCCGCCGCCAGGAATGGCGCCTCCTCCGGCAATGGGCATGGCGCCTCCCAACGGGCCGCCCAGTGGACCGGTCGCGCCAGCTCGAGCTCCGCCAGCTCCGAAGGGACCACCGCCACCTAAGTATCGTACGTTGTTCCCGTTGTTTCTTTTGGCTGTGTGCTAATTTTTTCCACGAAGCCCCTGGTGACAGGAGCCATATTCCGGCCGCAGCGATGCCTGCATTCAATGTGATCTCGCAGCAGTTGGATCAATTGCGCCAGACTGTACCTGTGTGTCATCTATGGGCTCTATCAGTGTTTTTACATTCTGATGAGTACTGTCCAGCCGTCCCAGAAACGACTGGTCGATGACCTTGAAAGGCGGATCAATCCGCTCTTTGACGCACTCAATTGCGAGACATTGTCCCAGCCGGTAGTTGAGCAGTTGCTTGTGCTCACTCAAGGTACGTGACGTGACTTCTAGTATTGCAGTCTTGTGACTGAATAAACGACAGCCATGGAAGCACACGACCGCGCCAATGCGCTGGCAATCCATGTCGATCTGCTGACGCGGGGATCCCAGACGGATGACATTGGGATGTGGATGTCTGGCATTAAACAGCTCATCATGCGTTTGTAGGTGGTGGTGTACTAGAAAACGTATATATGCAATCCCTGGAATTTCGGCTCCCCTGCGTAAATGCTATTTTATTCTTCTGCTCTGATGCGTGGCAAGAGTGAACATCCAAGATATGTAATTGTTCCGTCACACCGTTGACGCATTCACGCGCGTCGAGGTCGCATAAGACGCAGCTCCTGGTCACGTCTAGATAAACATATATGTAAACTAACCGTTTCAAATGGAATGCAGCTGTCTGAGCATGCGTACCATGGTAGGAATTATCAGGAGCAGCTCCCAGGCGTGAACTCACGCGACAACAGCATCATCCCCTCACATGTATACCTCGTCTGCGTCGCCATCCGCATCCGCATCCGCGCCAAAGGCCTCAACCTTTACCACCAATTTCCACGGAATGAGCACCTGCCCGACATACCGCGCATCCGCGTCTCCGTCTGTGTCCGGGCCAACGCGGTATTCGTCTGTGTTCACGAGCAGAACGTTCAATGGCTTGTCCGTGCCCGCGAACGTCCCTAGGAAGATCCGCCCGTCGGTTGTTATTATTCGGACGGGGGTTTGGAGGAGCGGGGTGAGCAAGGATGGGGATGCGGTGGAAGCATTGGGTGACGATAATGACATGGTGGTGGCGTGAAGCGAAATCTTATTAACTGAGATAGATACCATGTGATGATTCCACCGACAGTAGCTCGATCGGGAAGGTGGGCTCTTTCGGACTGTTAGGTCTGAACCACGTCTGAGCTTCAGCCTGTAAGCCACCGACAGGGTACTCGGACATGATGGAGCCTCATTTAGCAACAAGTAATTCCATTAATATCGCGATTGCTAATAATCCTCTACTATAATGACCACGTCGGTCCATTAGAAGCACTCTGGGCGACACAATCAGTGGAGAGTGGAAACAACAACAAACCAACATACTGCGGTGAACGATACCAGGGCCGGACTCGTCGTATTCTTGCTTGGAGCACCACAGGTTTTGGAACGTGCTCAGCGACGACAGAATCGATCCACCGATCCACACAGAGTACTTCCGCTCCGGAGGCGCAACAATCTTCACCTTCATGCTGGCCGGGGAAAGCGACGTCAGCTCTTTCTGCATACGGTCGGCGATACCCGGGAACATCGTCGTTCCACCCGACAGCACAACGTTGCCGTACAGATCCCGACGGATGTCGAGATCACACTTGAAGATCGAGTTGAAGCTGGGATAGAGGTCAGAAACGAGCAGGGATGGTCGTCGAGACAAACAACGCACGTCGTCTCGTGGATTCCGGCAGCCTCAAGACCAATGAATGCAGGCTGGAACAGCGCCTCCGGAGCACGGAATCGCTCAGGGCCAATCGTGATCACTTGTCCGTCCGGAAGCTCGTAGCTCTTTTCCAGAGCAGACGACTGCGCCGCAGTCTGCAGCTCCTGCTCAAAGTCGAGCGCAACGTAGCACAGCTTCTCCTTGATGTCCCGCACGATTTCACGCTCTGCAGTCGTCGTGAAAGGGTATCCGCGCTCAGTCAAGTTCTTGATCAAAAAGTCGGTCAGATCACGCCCAGCAAGATCGAGACGCAGGATCGCGTGCGGGAGCGAGAATCCCTCGTAGATCGGCACCGTGTGCGACACACCGTCACCAGAGTCGAGCACGATACCGGTAGTCCGACCAGACGCGTACAGCGACAGCACAGCCTGGATCGACACGTAGAACGCAGGCGCGTTGAATGTCTCGAACATGATCTGCGTCATCTTCTCCCTGTTCGCCTTGGGGTTCAGGGGCGCTTCGGTCAACAGCACAGGGTGCTCCTCCGGCGCGACACGCAGCTCGTTGTAGAAGGTGTGATGCCAGATCTTCTCCATGTCGTCCCAGTTGGTCACAATGCCGTGCTCGATGGGGTACTTGAGCGTCAGGATACCACGCTTAGATTGCGCCTCATCACTGAGGGATGATCGGTCAGTCGTCCACAGTGCTCGGGCACAGCAGGGACGCACCCCACGTAGGAGTCTTTTTGACCCATACCAACCATGACACCCTGGTGTCTCGGTCGTCCGACAATGGAGCTGCATGGATGTCCGTCATCAGAGACGGCCTGGTATGTAGCCAGTGGGAAGCAACGCACGGGAAAACAGCCCGCGGTGCATCATCGCCTATGAAAGGGTTCTAGTCCCATCCGAAGTTGATTTGATGACTATACCAGCAACTGTAAGAAAGTCAGGGATGTATGCGATGGGACGATTCCAAGAGACGCACATCCGGCCTTGCACATGCCCGAACCATTATCGATAACCTGCGCGTGTTCAGTAGAAGAATATTCATGAAGCGATGAGCGTACGAGGGCGGCAACTTCGTCTTCCATGACGTGCGCGTAGAATGTGGTGGGAGGAGGAAAGGATTTGTTGGCGGTGTCGGTGTCACGAATCACGATGTCGCCACACTGCCACTGGCCTGATGTTTCTCCGTGCTCCTATTACTCTCTGACTGGTCCGGGTCGTTCTTTGATAGTCAACTCCTTTTTACCTGATGCCACCTCTAGGACGTACTCTGGGCCAAAGATCCTCCATTGCCTCAAGCCAATGGACACTTAGATCACTCTCAATCAATCTGATCGCCGAAGAATATTGCCATAGTAGGTTTGGCTCTGAGGGGGCGCTGAAGGTTGTAACCAGGATTAAAGCCGGTCCAAATTCTCAGGCCTGCAGGTCATGCAAGGGACCCCAAAGATTCTCAGTGCATTGCTCCAGTAAAATAGGATCTGGATGGTTAAGAGCACTCATATTGTGATGTATGAGTGCAGCGATTGCTGGACACGTTGTAGAGGGGATCCGACTGATTGAATCCGTCTACTATGATACCTTGACCCCGTAAGTATTGAGACAAACCCGGCTTCTCGTCAAGCACAATCCTTGCACGTGACATGTCCATGTACAATGAACTCCCGGTGAATTTAATCGAATTGTGAGCCCATGTAAAATAGACGCGCGGTCATGATGAGTGAGTGGAAAACTATTTAAAACTACCCCACAGATCACCGAATGCATCATCTGGTTTCTGCTGCTGAGCTGGCGGTGCTGCCGATCCTGGGCTTGCGGCCCATACATTGCCGGTGTCGAATAGCGACGGCTGAACTGGCTGCTGTTGAACGGGCGCGCCCCAAACATTGGGGTGCTGCTGCTGCTGAGAGGGCGCCCATCCAGAAGAAGCACCCCACATTCCAGTTCCGTTCGATCCCATCATACTCTGCGGCTGTGCTTGTGGCTGAATTGGAGCAGCGGCACCCCAGGGACTGGCCTGTTGGAACTGCCCGAACGGTTGGGCGACGTGTGATGATGCAGGTACTGTCGCTGCTGGCGCAGCAGAAAAAAGAGACAAGATATCTTCCTTGGCATTCTTCGCAGGCGGCGGGGACGATGACTGTGAAGCCCCAACCGGCGGGGAGCGGAAATCAAGCGAAAAAAGATCGTCCTGTGGCTTGGATGCGGCGAGAGGGGGTGCAGCAGCAGCAGCAGTCTGCTGAGCCGGGGGAGCGTGATTATGTCTCGTCGACAACAGTTGGCGGGCTTGAGGCTGTGATGTCACAGTGGGACTGGAAACACGCGGGGCAGGAGGTCCAGACCAGGGAGTGGCAGTCTGAGGAGAGGCAGCAGCAGGCGCGGGTGTACTTTCGGGGACAGTAGCTGTTGTCGCGTCGCCATCCAACAGTGACGGATCGGGCGGAGGAGGACCCTCGAGGGCCCAGCGACGTGATTCGTACTTGGACCGAATGAAAGATTCCATCTTGCTGTAGCGGGCGAGTGAGCCCATAAGCACTGAAACTAAATATCCGCGGCACGCACTGGTCGGGTGGGATGTGTCCCGGTTTCAAGTGCGCTTCCCAGTAAAGATTGGCGAGCCTATTTCCCCACTTTTGAATGCTCTGTGATAGCACATAAACCTTTGCACTTTTGTACGAATGCGCTAACACACGTACTGCCATCTGCTCGGGCGTCCACACGTCCAGGTCCACAGATTTGACCTTGCTGATATGTGTACCCATCCCCCTATGTATACCAGAGCATCTGATACACAGGAACACCCCAAGGTTCCATGACGCCCATCGCGGGTCTGTCGAAGATTGTATTGAGCCCCGCGAAATCATCGATGAACGAAGCCAGTCACTCGCCGTTGCGTTTGCAGTCAGCACATACTTTGTTTTCCGCCAGTTTGACTAGCTCGCGAAGCGTTCGTGTGAATCGATCGGTCGTAGCTTTGTCCTGTCTAGACATGGTGGAGAGAACGAAAGTGGAGATCTCTTCGATTGTCGATGTTTGGATCAGAATGGTCGAACATCATCAATTCCGCCTTCAACTCGAATGCCATGGCGTCGGAACTCTCTGCCCTATTGACCGCTTCGAAAAACCTCACCTCCCATCTGTCGAGACCCGAACTCCCCTCCGTTCACCTCTCCCTCGACCAGGTCGAAGCTCAATCCCGGAGGCTTGTATCAAGACAACCTACTAACGCGAATGACACCGACCGCGCGTTCGTTTCTTTGGATCTGTGCTCTGAGGCGTTCCAGTTGAAAACTTATCTGATTATAGGAATTATCTTCTTGCCCAAGCGCATGTTGACGCGTCCGCCCTCAGCACTTCTATCGCACATCTCAATGCTTCCAACACGTTTTCTCCCCTGCAACCATTGCAGGACACGGACGTCGCAGGCTATCTCCGACATGCCCACGAACAAAATCTCATTTCTACCATTGAGGAGGGGCGGAGAGAGACGCAGGAGCAGTTCTATCGCACGTTGGATGAACGCAGTAGGCGCGATTGGGAGGCCAAGAAAAAGCGCGTCTTTGATGAGCTAGGGGGGCGCGTTGGGGGCGATAACCGAATAATGACAGAGCTGAAAAAGAGTTTCCACGGGAAAGGTCTCGCGGTAGGTAGAAACTTCCTTTGTGTGAGCGTCTCTGAAGGCTTCGCAGGCGAGCACGACGGCAACGCCCAGTCTAACATTACAGATGCAGACGAAGATGATGAAATACGATCGTGTTGTTGCGGAGTTTAATACTGCACGGCTACGCGACACATCTTATCCTATTGTCCATGCTTTCCTACGAGCCTCTCTTGATGTCGCATCAGATGTGCGTACCTCTTCAGGGGTGTCTGCGAGGGATTTTGATCACTAACAGCCAAACTCTCTGCAAATGATACAAACGTTCCATGTTCTCGCGAGAATTACAGGCGAACCCCCGGCTATGCCACCCATCGAGCATGCCAGCGCCCATATTCTGAACGCGCCCAAGCTGGAGCGAAAGCACGCGCGAGCGTACTTGGGGGACCCTGAAACGCGTGAGGCAGCAGATCTGCGGCGGCAGATCGCGACAGGTGCAAGGACTGCGTTGGAGGAGCAGTACTGGGACGTGCTCGAGCGCACGTTACAGTCGCGGGCCAACGAAGCGCAGCTCGGCGGTGACCCGAGTGTTGCTAACAAAGTTCGTGCGTTTTTGTTGGTACGGTATTATAGGAAAGGGGAGTGGGAGGATCGAATTGAGGTGGAACTGATTATACTTCTGCTTGATTCTCGCTCATGTCTTCGGCTCAGTTGGTTATGGGACAACCGTTGTGGGCACGACTCTTCTTCCTTGTTCGGTCCGGCCATTACCAGGAGGCACTTGAGCAAGCCATCGAGTTTCTTGATGCGATCGAGAGTCGGGAGCCTGCTTTTGTCACTCACTTCCGGACGTGGATCGAGTCTCCAGAGAGGCGGTGAGTGGTCTCACCTTTCATAAGGTATATGCTTATTTGCTTGGAAGTCTGCCGAAGCCCGCTCGGGATCATGTCCACAACATTTACAGTGGGCATATGATGCACTCGACGACAACGGATCCATTTAAGCTTGCCCTGTATAAACTGATGGGCAAGCTGGAGCCAGGAAGGAGAAGTGTCGCACATGTGACCTCGACGACTGAGGACTGGCTGTGGTTCCAGCTAGCCATGGTATCTAACCCTCTTGATCATTCCGCACCAAACTGAATTCTCGTCCAGGTCGACGAAGACGAGGATGGCGGTCTGCGAGGACTGGCAGACGTTCTCCTCGGCTATGGCGAGCGTCAGTTTGACGGAGGAACCCGCCGTGGCGTTTGGGCCGGTGTGTTGCTCATGTGCGGACAATTCGAGCGAGCAGTTGGAGCACTCTGGGAGCATCAGGATACGGAAGTCGAGGCCGTGCACCTGGCTATTGCTCTCGCGTATCATGGTTTGCTTAGACTTCCTCCCCGGTCGGAAACCAGCGATATGACACCTCGTTCGTTGTCTACTTACTTTCGCACAGCAGTATCTGACCAGTCTTCAGTAACCCTTTCGCCTGTGAATCCGCCAGCACTCAGTCTGTCCACATTGATCTGGCGGTATGCTCGCCAGTTCGTAAAGATGGATGCTCGCGAAGCATTACAATATGTCTATTGTGTTGGATTGGCTGCAGACCAGGGTGCTGTGGGAAAGGAGCAGGTCGAAAACGCATGGGAACTGGTCAGGAAGATTATCGTGCTTGGGAATAGTGGGCCAGCGTGGGAGGAACTTGTCGGCGGTTTCCGCCCTGATGGTACCCGATTCGTGAGCCCTGGTTTTTCTTCGTTCGTGGAATAAGCAGTACTCATCGTGTTCTGATTGGTAGAGTGGTGCCATTGAACAAGGCGCATCCCTTCTCCGACTTCGCGATACTAAAGATTTCAATGACCAGATTCTGATCAAAGCTGCGCGCGACGCAGAGGAGAACGACAGGATGCCGGAGGCAGTCAAACTGTATAATCTCGCTGGAGATTACTCAATGGTCGTCGCTTGTCTCGCTCAGGCGCTCGGGAACACGATCGCAATGCCGAGCGCAGATGAGAAGGCGAAGACTGTCGAACGAGTTGCCAAGGAGATCTTGAGACAGTACGAGAGAACCAACAGAGCGGTTGGCCGTGAACGAGATGCCGTTATCAGGCTGCTGAGAGTCAGAGAGGCCATGGAAGCCAAGTTGGAAGGACGACCAGAGAAGGCTCTGGAGGTCTGTACATCCTCCTTTCTTTCGCCGCTGCCGCCGCTGATGGGCTGTCAGATCATGGAAATGACTGAGCTCATTCCTCTGGATGGTGATGTTGCTAAAATCACTCGGCGTGCGGAGGAGTTCAGAGATCTGCACGATTCATTGCAGCGAAATCTTCAAATCTACCTACCTCTCACCATGGATGCCCTTGCGGGCGTGCACCAGAAAACGAAGATGCAATTGGGTCCAGCTGATGCGACTCGTCAAATGGTATGTATGGTTTGTGAGCGACTCAGAATTCTTGCTCAATGTCTGTAGACACTTACTTTGTTGCGCAAAAAATCGCGGTCGTTGATGGTGTTTGCGGGCATCCTCAAGTACAGGATGTCTCCGGATGTGTATTCTTATTTGGCACGCTTGGATGTAGAAATTGCTCTGTAGGTTCAACCAAGAGGTAGTCGCTCTCTTAATCTTGGAATCAGTTGATGATCAGCTAGCCACCCGTTGAAAATCACTTGCCACTTTTGACTAGGCAACTATGAGTATGCCGCAGAGTGCCACTACCGCATGTGCGGCCTCCTGTGTCAGGCAGTTGGTACACTATAGTAGATTTCGATGGATGTCAATGTCGCTTCTCTTGGCTAAGGGAGAAATACTATCTCAACCAGTTCATCCTGCTGAAGCGTAGAAACCTCATTTGTGAGAATTTTGCTGCACAAAATTCATTACATTTTTACCTGACAAAGTCTGGAAGAATCTATCACTGCGGGGGGACTTATTTTTTTTCCGTAGAAAATGCGTGACAATCTAGAAGTTCGATTTTCACCGTTCTGTTTTCAGACAAAAAATATACATTGAGAATAGACGTCGATTTACGGCAAGATTTTGACCACGAATAGACGTCTATTCCTCCGAAAAACAGGACTGTAAATAGAAGATCTTTTTTTTATTGATTTTCACTGAGAATAGATCTTCTTTTTTCAATGCCAATTCTCACGAAGAATAGACGTCTATTCCCGTGAAGAATAGACATTGAAAACAGAAGATCTTTTTTCATTGAAAAAAGATGCAAGTTGCAACGACTCGTTATGAGTTGGCACGACTCAATGAATAGTTGCAGAGCTGAGTCGATCTGCGAGTCCTCATGCATGCTGCTGACATTATTACACGATGAAATGCTGAGGGCGCGCTCACAGATGAATCTACTATGAAAGTAAACCCAAATATAAACACATTCACACTCCTCGTAATCAGCTTCTCAGTGTGTGAAAGATACAAGGGCTTTGGGGTGGACAGAGCACCAGTATCACAACTCTCAATAGGCACAGATCCAATAGTCGCGGAAGACAAAGTCGATGACAAGAATATATATATAGCAAATAATGGTGTCTCAACCAATATCTTCTATATGACCAAAACTAACACTAATCCAATCCACAACCAACAATATCACAAGTCAGAACTTAATACAAAGTATTAAGATCCCTTGTAGCAACAGCGTCCAAATGGTGATGCAAAGCCCAAATATTGAGTCGACGTACTGCCAACCAATACAACCAATATACTAAGTCGACTGTGACAATCAACCCAAAAATAAAGTCGAAAAGAGAAGTGAATTCAAAGACTGGAGAATACAACCAAGTAGCTACAGTATTTATACCCAAATCCAGTCTGAGTCATATCTACAACTAATGAGTCATAGGGCTATGTACCACATGGAGCACTGGTCATGGGTTGTAGTAGAACCTTCCGCAGCATATGTCGCGCAGCCTTGGATCGATAAAGATGACCCCTGTCCCCCTAGCCCGGACCGTCAGATGCCATGATCCGTGATAAGATAATCCATGTCAAAATAAGATAAGATCATCAAGGATAAGATGAAAAAGAGTCGAATTATGACATTACCCCCTCTCTAGGGTCGATGTCCTCATCAACTAGGCCAATGGGCGTGAAGACGTTCTCGTAGGGATCGAAGAGTTGTTGTTGTGGATATGGGAGGCGTTCGTCCCTGGGTTTATAGCGATGAATGAGGTAGTCCCAGTGTCCAGCTTTGAGCGTTGGCAGAAGGCGGATGCGTGTGTTTGGATTTGATTGTTTCCTCTGCCAATCTCTCAGGACCTTCTTTGCATGGGTGAGGTGACGTGATGGTTCCCAGGTGTTCTCGCTATGCGGCCATCCCTTCCATTTGACCAAGTACTGTTTCCCTCGGCCAACGTTTCGCTCTTTCACAATCTCTTCAACTTCCCACTCCTCTGCTCCTCCGATCATCTTGGCTACAGGTCCCTTCTCTCGGCGATGGGGGGGTGGTTCGTGATAGGGTGTCAACAATGATTCGTTGAACACCGGGTGTCTTCGGTCCGTGTCCGGCAAATCCAGCTTCCATGCAGCCGCTCCAACCTTCTCCAGTATCTCGTATGGCCCCAATCTCTTGTCGCTCATCCTCTTCGAAGGCCTGTCCATCTCGATATTGTCCCCTTCTATGTACACCTTCATTCCAACCTTCAACTCCGGAACTTCTTTTCTTTGTTTATCGTAGTATTTTTTCATTTTTTCTTTTGCTTTTTCTAATGCTGCTTTTGCTTCATCTCGTATTTCCTTGATTCTCTTTACAAACTCCTCTGCCAATTCGTTCCTTGATTCCATCCGCTGCTCCACTCCCTTCCATGGGTGATATCCATGATTGGCATAGAATGGCGACATTTTGGTAGACGTGTTCATTTTGTCATTGTATGTGAACTCCGCCATTCCCAGCCACTCTGACCAATCCGTCTGATGGTAATTGACGTAAATGCGGAGATAATGCTTGATCTCCTGGTTCATGCGCTCTGTTTGTCCGTCCGTGATCGGGTGATATGCGGTCCCCGGGTTCATTTCCATGCCCAACATCTGGTTCGTCTCCTTCATGAAGCCCTTGATATATCGAGAGTCCCTGTCGGTGATGATTTTGCGGGGAACCCCGTGATAGCGGAAGACTTGGTCCCTGGTTAACCGTGCTACTCCTTCGCTGCTGATGTCAGTGCTAATTGGTTCAACATGGATCATTTTGGTGAAGGTGTCACACCACACATGGATTGCGTCATACCCATTACTGACCGGTAAGGGTCCGATTTGATCCATTGAGATGATTTCCCACAGCGCATTTGGGACTGCATGCAGGTGCAGAGTCCCTGTCCTTGCTCTCCTGGTCTTGGTCCATTGGCACACCTCGCACGTCTGGATGTATTTCCAAATTTGGTTTCCCATCCTTGGCCACCAGTAGTTCCTTTCCACCATCTCCTGCGTTCGGTTGATCCCAGCATGTCCAACCAAAGGTGTGTCATGGTGTAGCCCAATGATCTTGTCTCGCAGTTCCTCGTCCCTCGGTACGTAGAGCTTCCCATGGTACGTGATGAGCCCGTCTTCCTTTTTCCATCCAGCGAGTGACTTCTCCAAGGCCGCCTTGACGCTTCCATCAATTGATCAAGTGGCCTTGATCTCATCAACTAGCTGCTGATCTTGTTCCTCGAATGTGACTTCTTGCGATCGGAAGAACTCAGGCTTTAGTAGTGTGACGTCCTTGTTGTCGTTCTTGCCCTGATCGTGATCCGCTCGTCAGGATAAGAGATCCGCCTTGCAGTTGAGTGCGCCGGGCCAGTGTCGTAAGGTGAAATCGAATTCTGCCAGCTCTGTGATCCATTGTGCTTGCCGTCGGTTGAGCTTCTGCGGTTTTCGGAAGTACTCGAGATTTTGATGATCAGTGAAGATCTTGAACGTTTCTGTGGCTCCTAGTAGTAACTGCCTCCATTCGTCCAATGATAACATGATTGCAAGCATTTCCTTGTCGTAGATCTCGTAATTTCGCTCGGTTTCGGTCAATGCGTGCATGTGAAATAAACGCGATTGGGCGCCAAATGCCGTCTTGGTTTTGGCTCAAAACGGAGCCTGTTGCCCCTTCCGAAGCATCGGCTTCCAGACGATATTGGCCGGTGTCACTTGGCAGTGCTAAGACCGCATCCTCCGCGATTCTCTTCTTCAACCCATCAAATGCTGCACACTCATCTGCACCCCATGTCCATCCTGCCTTCCCTGTCAACCGTGTTAACGGCTTGGCCACCTCCGCATATCCCCAAACGAAGTGTTGATAGAAGTTTGTGAATCCGAGGAAGGCTTGAACTTGTTTGACGCTTTTTGGTTCTGGCCATTCCATCACACCCTTGATCTTGACAGGGTCCATACGCATCGAGTTGTGTCTGATGATTACACCTAGGTACTCGATCTCTGTGCGTTCGAACTTGCACTTCTCCGGCTTCAGGTATAACTTGTGCTTTTGGAGCAACTCAAGTACCCGTTTGGTGATTCGTCGATGTTCATCCAGATTTTCTGTGAAGATTAGTATATCGTCCAGATAGACTACCACATGTCCCTCGTTGATCAGTTCCCGGAGTATATTGTTCATCATGTTTTGAAAGGTTGCCGGGGAATTTGTGAGACCAAAGAACATAACCAAGGGCTCGTAAAGTCCGCGGTTTGTGCAAAATGCAGCCTTCCACTCATTGCCTTCTTTGATCTGTATGTTATTATATCCCCACCGGATGTCTAGCTTGGTGAAGAACTTGGCACCGCACAGGTTGTGGACCAGTTCGGAGATCAGGGGTAGTGGGTACCGATTTCGGATTGTCATCTCATTCAACTTCCGGTAATCTTGGACAGGTCGTAGCGAGCCATCCTTCTTCTTGACAAAGAAGAATGCTGATGCCATGGGTGATTTTGAGGGTCTGATCCGTCCGCTGGCTAGGTTCTCCTGTAAGAACTCGTCGAGTTTGACCTGTTCGTTTTGTGATAACGGGTAGACCTTGCAGTCCACTGCTTTGGAGCTGGGTTTGAGCTCAATCGCATGGTCCCATGTGCGTCTGTCTGGTAGCGAGTCAAACGATTCCTTTGCAAACACCTTGACAAATTCCCGGTATTGATTGGGAATCTTCCCCTCGGTCATCCTCTCCTTCTCCTTTTCCGCTTCTTCTGCGAATTTCTGTGCCGGCATTTCCTTCAGCCGTAGATCCACTTCCTTCCCAAAGTCGACCAACAGGATCGACTCTCCTTCTTCCAGATCCGGTGCGTCCACATCCAGGTTAATTGCATCCATGTCGATCATCACTTGGTGCTCCTCGTGACCCCTCATGTGACATCGCTCTGGGCATCGGCTGAATCTCATGGTCTGCTCTTGCCAATCCACCTCGGGGTTGTGTTCCGTCAGCCAATCAAGACCGATGAAGATCCGAGCTTTCCCTAAGCACGTCAGAAGGAACGTGCGTGTCTCCACATGAGGGCCAATTCTCATCCTCAAGTCGACGTAATGCGTGATTCGTCCACTGATGTTCTCGGTGTTGTTGGCGTTACGAGCCACGATGGGTTGCGGAAGCTCTTGGATATCCAACTTCTCTGCCCGCGCGTAGTCAGTATCGATGCAGCAGGTACTGCAGCCACTATTGAGCAGCGCTTTGACTCTGTGCGTTTTTCCTGAGTCCAGGCCCATGATCTGAACATATACGTCCATTGAATGCCTCTTTCTTTTGGCCTGGTAATTTCGTAATTCCTGCGCCAATCTGCTGGGCTGGGGACCCTTCTGTTTCTCGGCCGCCAATTTCCTCTGGACGGCATCTGGCACCCTGGTGCGTTTGGGTGCTCCTGGAACCTTGATTTCGGCAGATTCCTTAGGCGCTTCCTCCTTTTCCAAGGATTGAGCCTTCGGAGCGATGCTCCCCTTTTTGGTCTTTGTTGACGTGGTTTCTTCTCCACAAGCCATGAATATGTAGGAGTCCGAAATTAATTTATCTGCAGCTTTCTGATCCTTTTTCTCTTGTAAATATTTCCTATTTAGAGCTATTTTTCTTTGCGTTCTTTTTCCATTTCAGCGACAAGAAACTCGTGAATATTAGTACGTAGTGAGTCTGGGAGCGTGTATGTAGGATGAGGAATATTGTTCATATCTTTTATCGAAACAAGTATAGAAAATCGTCCATAGTCCGGACGCTCCACCTCCTTGGCTAGAGGAGTGGAGCGCTTCAAAAACCCTTCTCGCGCAGCTTCTCGGCGATCTCCTTGAGGAACTTGTTGTCCTTGTCCCCGTTCTCGATTTCTTCAAGCATCGTGGCCCGATTGAAGAATGTGCACTTCTTTCTTGGTTCCGGACAGTTCCACGCAATGTGTCCGGGCTGCTGACAGTTGTAGCAGATGATATTGCGGCCGCGGGCATGGGTACGATCAATTTCCATTGGAACCGGTTCGTTGGCAGCGGGTCGGGCCGGGGCGGGTGCAGGCGTTGTTGGGGCTGCCTGCGGGCAGAATTGGGGGGGTTGTCGTGGCGTGGAGTGCCCATGCGATGCTTTGCGCAGCTGATCACGTAGAGTGTTCGCCTCGATGTTGACACACCAGTCCTTGAAGGCACCATACGCCTTGGGCAGAGGAACACCAGTGTTGTAAAGGCGACTTGCAATCTCGCTGCTCAACCCGCGCTCAAGGAACTCAATGAGGATGTTGTCCTGATCCCCCTTCTTGTACTCGCCCTTGTCATCGGTCGAGGCGACCACGTTGTACCCCGCGTCCGCAGCCAGCATTTCGAAGTCGGAGATATAATCCGCGAAGGATTGTCTATTCTGGCGTAGAGCCATAAGTCAAGCAGTGGCAACTTGCTCCGCGTTGGAATCCCCAAAGGCCCTCTGAAGCTCCTCCAAGAAGGTCGCCGAGGTGACCCCAGCTTTCAGTCCATTGAGGCTTTCGAAGTTGCGCTGTTTCCTGTTCATTGCCCATCTCGAGGCGGCGCAGCTCGTGCCAGCCTCATTGCGGAGGTACGAGAGGATGAAGAGGATTTTTGTCTTGTCCTGTGAGAATTCCGACCAATAGGCCCCAATGTAGGTGGTGCAGGAGTCCACGAAGCCCATATATCTGGACTTGTCCCCATCAAAGTAGGGGGGGTTGGCGGCGAGGGTGATGCGGTGATGTCCTGACATGGTACGAGCAGGTGTGGTAGGTGGGGGTGAAGGTGGTTGTTCGGAGGGCAGTTCGTCGAGGTCAGGGATCTCGTCTTCAGGCGGCGGGAGGGCAAGATAGGGGTTGGAGGGCCCGGGTTCGTTTTGATGCACCAGATCAGGCGACGATGGTAGGATGGGAGGAGGGGATGGACTCCCAGACGACGATGGGAATCGGTACAAAATGGTGAATTTGTGTGCTGTACAAGCACTCGAGGGAGGGTTCTTTTGCTAGCAAAAAGATCCCGGGCCTAGCTCTTCACGTGCCCGATGATCCCGAGGTGCGTTTTCCCAAAGGTCTCCGCAGCACTCCTTGTAGCTACCGTAAGGCTTGGGTCGGACTCAACGTTACCCGTGGCCTGGTGCTGTTTGCTCGAGATGAACCCTTCACTGCGATCGCAGAGAACGACTAGATGATTCGGTAAAAGGGTAAGTGGTTTGACAAGGGTGAAGAGGATGTAGCGGTGAGAGGTGCAGGGTAGGAGGTAAGAGGTACGAGGGTATGAGGGGAGTCTTTGAATTATGTGACAATCAACCCAAAAATAAAGTCGAAAAGAGAAGTGAATTCGAAGACTGGAGAATACAACCAAGTAGCTACAGTATTTATACCCAAATCCAGTCTGAGTCATATCTACAACTAATGAGTCATAGGGCTATGTACCGCATGGAGCACTGGTCATGGGTTGTAGTAGAACCTTCCGCAGCATATGTCGCGCAGCCTTGGATCGATAAAGATGACCTCTGTCCCCCTATCCCGGACCGTCAGATGCCGTGATCCGTGATAAGATAATCCGTGTCAAAATAAGATAAGATCATCGAGGATAAGATGAAAAAGAGTCGAATTATGACATCGACGCACTGCCAACTAGTAGAACCAAAATGTCGAGTTGATGCACTGCCAACTGAGACAACCAAAGTACTGAGTCGATGCACTGCCAACTAGTAAAACCAAAATGCCACGTCGATGCACTGCCAACTAACAGCCAATATCCAAAACCCAAGCACAACTTGTCAATGCACTGCCAAGCAAGAAGTGTGGAACCAAAGTTCTCAAGTCGACGCACTGCCAACTGACCAAAACAACCTGAGCACAACTAGTTGAGGCACTGCCAAGCTAGAGGTGTGGAAACAATCTCAACAAAGCCCAAAGGCGACGACACTAAGTGCCGCGACTAAACCAGAAGTGGTGAATCTGACTTTCTGATATCTCAACTCAAACTCAAATCACAGTAGCTACAAGCGCTCAGGGAGCAACTCGTCGCAACTGGGCAGGGGTAACAGAACTTCTTAGGGTGGAATCACGCGACACGCAAATTGCACAAAACAATCTGATATGAGAATGATTCACAGTCCGGGGGAAAGCTCCCCAATACAAAGAAACGACGTGCTACTTATACTGTCTACAACGATGCTTAGTAAAGTCCTGTACAACTGCATAGTAGCTACGCTATCTAAGATTGGTTGCTTTTATGGTAATGAAAACGTTGAACGATCGGACAGGTCCTGACTGATCAGGACCCCGCCCCATAGTCCATATGGTACTTTTGATGTGGGTCAACCCACCGCATCATACTTTTGGAATACGACGTGCTGGATTGGCCAGCTGGTATGTCTTGGCAAGTGAGTCTAACGTGGGTGCCCCAAGAAGCCGTATGGCCCTAGGCACACCACACGTTCCTCACATGGTTCGGTTCATGGATCTAGCCCGTGTCGCTTTTAGTGTGTTTGGGTATGGGCGTGACTTGCTGTGACACTTGGAAGTGTCACCGCAACACGTCCACAATGTCCCGTGATTGAGTGGATCCTGACATGTGACCAGTTGTCGCCATGGCATGATCTAAGGAAACGTCCAACCCAAAACCGGGAGTTGCCGCAACAAGATTGGTTCAATCTCGTAACGCCAAGTCCTGTCCAGAAGTAGTTGAAATATTGAGAATGTCGTGCATTGCTAAGCCCTTCAGACCAAGTCCCCATCTGCAGAGAATGACCCTTTTGAGGAGTCGCCGCAACAAAGTATCCCTTTTTGGAGAATTGTCGCGGCCCAAGTGTTTGTCACTAACAGTCCTGAGCCTGGTGTAGGCTCATAAGACCAATTCCACAGTAGTGGTCTGACTGCCTTGCTATCGTCGACACCATCCACAGTCGTCAACTGGGCAGTAGACCCTTAAGTCCTACTGAGCACAACACTGTCAACCGCAACACGTACACTGAGTGGTTCGAGAGTAAACTCTGTAAAAGCACAAAAATACGCCCTTATAGAGCTGGTGCAGAGCACGTCTGGTAGCCAGCCTATCAGCGACTATACTGACACTCATGAGCTGCAAGACCCGCTGCCCCTTGCTGTGAGTGCCTGTGTCGTTGATGTGCCTGCACAGCCACATGATCCGCTATCACATAATGTTCAACCACCACTGTCAACACTAACAACCCGCATTTACGACTTGAATCTGAACCGCCGTCTCTACCTGGAGAGATCTCAAGCATCCTACAATGGCCCTCAATTTTTGCCCACCCTCTGTATCATATTTTCCCGAACCGCCCTCTGTTGTATCTAGCACACAATATATTTGTCTTCTACTACTGCTTTCAAACCACAGCGTGAGCAAGCCATACAAGAAATCTATTAGAAGAGTGGGGAAACACGGATTCAACACGGTGCGTATTTACTGCCTTATGTGCAACCTGCACAGACCCTAGGACATAACGGTGTGCACTGTGCATATATTATTGATTCTTCTGATCCCCTACAGACCACAGCAATTGCAGCAAAGCACGAGGATGCCTTCACAGTCCCTCTTTCACAAACAATTTTCCCAGATTACTGGCTGGGAGGGTCCTCCAGTGGACATTGCGCCCTCAATCACAGCTGACTGATGGCGAGTCAGGTGGCTATGTAGCAGCGCAGCTTGTAGTCATTCTGGTATCTACTTGATTGTCGTTCCCAATTTGAAACTCCACCTGCGCCAAGTCGGACTCCAGCGCTCCTGCAAATCAATGAGCCAACTTTGCATTGTCTGAGGTCTTCCATCTGACTGGTGTGTCATCAGTAAGACCCATGTTTTGGCGCATCATAGAGAGAAAACCGATGGCTTGGTCCAGAAAGCATCCCCGCATTCAACAAACATGGATGTCGGCGCAGCCTGGAACATTGTATACCTTGTTAATGCAGAAATCCATGACAAATGATTCAAAACCATATATAAGAAACAGAGCTCATACAAATGTAGTGAAAGGAAACGTCCGAGAATACAACACTGCATCTAGACATCCTCAAGGAACCGACTCTCCACAGGGGGCACAGGGGCAGCGTCTTTGACTGGCAGCTTTGACTCAGCAGATGGTTCCTCGGCTGTGTGCGGGGACGGCCTTCCGGTGCTGTTTCCTGCTGCTGCTTGCTTGGTCAGTAAGAGACATTGGCACCACCATCAACCACGGACAGATTGCGAGAGTGATCAGGTCCTTCTTGTTGACCTGTAACATCATCATTCAGCATGTGCCCCGCGATAGAAAGACAGTGAGCCTTACCAGG